CATTCTCTTATTCACAGTGGGATGTGCAGTCAAATTTACTCAAGTAAGAGTAGTGATACGTTGTTGAAATATGAAATGAAAGTATGGTTCATTAAAACCACTTGCAAAAGTATATTTATGTCAAAAAGTAACTCAAGTAATTGTAACTGAGAAGAGATGTCAAGTAACTCATGATAGATACTTCTTAACTGTGCTTAAATGGCTATTTTGGTATCTATACCTTTCTGAATACTTTTTACTTCTACTACCCTAGTTTGAACACAAATATCCACACTTTCTATAACTTACTTCTGAAAACTCTCGTTACTTCTAAACATACTGACAATGATTTACCAGCTGTAATGAAACAAGAAAATTCACAAAGAGAATGTGTCCAGTCACTGATAGCAACATGGATGTGAACAGAAGGCTGGGAAACACTGCAGATGATGGATCAGATTCGGAGACCCAAAACATTCCCCATCCATTCCTCCTTCACATTTTGATTATGCTTTAACTTCAACTTCGATTCAATGATATTTGCATCTTTAATGCTGTGAATACTAGAGCTCTAAAATCTAATCAACTGCTCAGAAGAATTTAGAATCAATTTTACATAAAAATATTTTTTGGAAGCTTTTAAAAGCTATTTTAAAAACAAAAACTACTTTACTTAAGTATTTAAATACAATGTAGGGTGTACTGTACTTTTTACCTAACTAAAGGAGTTTAGTCGATAATTTTACTTTTTCTAGTCTTCCTTTACACTGCTATCTGTACTTTTACTCAAGTGAAAATGTGTTTACTTTTACACCTCCGTAACTGAGAAGCTGTAACTAGTTACTACCAACCTCCTCCTCCGAAGACACATTAGTACCTGTACTTTTAATTCCTGCTTGATGTCATTCATTGACGCTACAAGATTTTCATATAATGTTTTTACCATGAAGCTGTCTTTTTCTGGCAGTGTGCTGGTCCCCCTGTAGGAAACCCAACACAAACCATAATCCCTCCATCCCCGTGCTTCACAGTTGGAAGGTATTTTTTTTTGCCTTTCTTTCTTCTTTCTTTTTCTTAGAATCGAACTAGAGCTCATGGTAGCTAAAATGTAATAAATTTAAGACCACAGTATAAGGCTCCTTTTAGCCAACACCTTCATAAAAAGTCATGCTGTTCTGTGGTTCTATAGGTTTGCACATTTTATACTAAAACACATCCGAACCCATCCATTCCTGAATATTATGACCATTTAAAATCCCGATACTACCTATAGGATACTTGCATATAATTTTTGAATAGAGTAATTACTTTATACCTATATAGACCACAGTCCCCTGCTGATTTTGTTTGTATCTTTTTTTTTTTTTGCTTTTTCTTTTGCCTCACATGAAATCTCTAACAACACCCACTAGTGTGCCTCAGTTAATGCTTAAAGAATGATTTATTATAGCGGGAAAAAAACCTGTTAAAACGTTGGTGCTTAATAAGCAGAAAATACAAAATGTTAAAAGACTTTCCAGCTATTTCAAAATGCAGACTTCTGGAAGTTATGCACATTTATTGGGTGTTTTTAGAATGCTTCACTTTAAGTTTTGTATCTTATTATATGTTTTATCCCATGATAGAATAGAAAATCCCTTTATTGTCCCACAATGGGGAAATAGTGGTGTTACAGCAGCAAAAGATTACAGCAAAAGCATTCACACAAATGTGAACTTTAAAAAAGTGTACAAAAATAACAGAATAAGAGTTAAGAACATAAACATAAAATACTGCACTGTACAGTGTTTTTACAATATAAATACTTTGCATCTGGAAAATGAATAACCAATATAAATGATATATTCTGTGCTTTGTTTCTCATGTGTTCTATTTTCTCTCTAAATCAGTCGAATACGTAATATAATTCCTAATACAACAAGGGATTTTCTCTTAGTAGACATTAAAATATTATATATTAATAACAAGGCTCTGTTAATTTTTTTTTTATCTGTACAGGAAACCAAAATAACAATGCTACTTTAAACAGTATATTTGTAACAGTATAGACTGGCTTATTAAAAATGGCAGTTACATATAATAAGAATTGAGTAATTTTTTCAGAATAAATGTATTATTAAATGGTGCTATGCTGTGATTATTCCACTTTTGGTCTCTCGCTGAACTTTTCAAAGTTTGCATTCCAGAAAAAGTTTTCATTATCAGAACAGTGGTTAACAGAGAAGCAAACATTTACCAGGTACATGTTTCCCAGCGGAAACGCAAACCATTACTCACCAGACAGGCCAGAAATGCGACGAGGATTACAGCATGAAACATTATTCCTGGAGAGTTTCTGCAGCACCTGAATCAGTATCCTCTCTTTCAGGAGGCTGGAGTGTTTAACTATCAGCACTGTCCTTTTAGGAGACACATCTGGCAAAGACAGTGGATGGACTTCTGTGGCTGTCCTTGCTCTGCTGTTATCTGTTCATCTAACTGTGTTGAGAAGAAGAAAAAAACATCCTGACTTTTGACCAACGTCACCAGTATTGCAGTGTCACAGCCCTCTTATCTGGGGATTTTACAGACAACCAATCAGGGCGATAAAGGATCAATATTTCTATTAGATTATTAACTTTGGGGCAATGTGGAGTTGGTTGCCTGGGTTACTTAAAGCAGTTTGCAGGAATTATTTAGGGAAACCCAAAACAAAACAGCCTCGCCCAGGTTCTGCATGAGTTTTATCAGCCTGTCACTGCCAGCCTCTGACTTATCATGTTTCTGTTTATAGCAGATTCTTCTTCTATTATAAATATGTTTTCACCTGGCAAAGCTCAGCTCTGTTTGATGGTTAAATGTAACCTGAAGCTGAATATAATATTGAAATCCATATTATAAACACAGATAAACACAATTTTATTTCCTCACTTTCTCTTAAAATAAATAATACAAATCCTTCCTGTTTTAGGTCAGACCCAGTCCATGTCCATTTTTTTTATTCCAGAATAATGTGCAAGATAGAGCTTTTTTTTTTTAAATATATTATTGTGGTTCCTCTAATAAAACAAAGACCTGAATCTTAATGACAAAATAGCTACAAGATGGCTTAAGAAAAACAAAGTAAATTTTTTCAAGTATCCAAAATAATGTTTTAATCTTAGATTCAGTGAGCTTTTTTATATATATATTTCTGTGTCCTCTAACAATTTAGAAAAGCCCATATAGTGGTAAAGTTATGGCTAATTTTAAAAAGTTTTACCTAATCTGATCCAGCAAGTCAGGTTTTAAAAATTTGGATTACCGTAGATTAAGACACACCTGCCAATGTAAACAAAGACAACGCCTTAAAAATTCTACTCATTTTGTGACGTTATGAAAAAAAGGGCAAGATAACAGGAAAATAATAGCAGCACTTTAACAAGTTGGCCGTTCCAAAGATGAACCTGTTTTGGTGGTTTAAATTGAGCAAAATAAACTTTGTTTGTGGATAAAGCTGGTTTTAAAAGCATAATTGGTGCAATAGGTCTGGTGTTGACATGGGCTGAAAAGCCACTTGGTAAAGAAGAAGCCAATTCTTCAAAATCAGCAAAGCCAATTCTTTAATACTGGAAGCCTTTCCTGTAGTTCTGATTAAGACAAACATAATTCTTTAAGGATTCCATTTGTCTTGAGAGGGAGGGAGTGAAGCTTGCAAATATTGAAACACATGTAAATAGCAGAGGGTTTGCAGCATCATGTTGTTGTGTGGGTTTTTGGTTGCTGGAGGGACTGGTGCACTTAAGAAAATAAAAGGTATCATCAGAAAAGAATTCTACATGAATCTAAATCTGCCAGGCAAATGGTTCCTCTAATAAAACAAAGACCTGAATCTTACTGACAAAATAGTTACAATTTGCTTAAGAACAACAAAGTGAATCTTTTTAAGTGTCCAAAATAATGTTTTAATCTTAGATTTAGTGAGTTTTGGTGAGTAGAGCTGAAAAGCTGTGTGGGGTACAAACCTGACAATTTCTGTCTGAAGAAAAGGAACAAACCTAAATACCAATTCACTGCAAAAACAATCTAGAAATAAGTAAAAAAATTTTTAAATTAAGTGTATTTACCCTTAATTTGAGTAGGTAAATAAGATGATTTGCCAATGAAATTAGTATCATTAGACTAAAGATACTAATTTCATACTAATTAGATAATATGAACTTGAAATAAGACAATGCAATAGTTTTTTTCTTATTTTAAATGTAAATTGTCTTGTTCCATTGGCAGTGTCTCACTTTCGTCCTCAATTTGAGAAAAAATGCACTTATTTTAAGAAAAAAATAACTTACTTAGATTTCCATTTTTTGCAGTGTAAATAGATACCAAATTTCACATGAACCCATCCATCCTTTGCCTATAAATGTGCTCCTTTCATAATCAGAATATGGACATTCTAAGCAGAAGCCCCCATACCAGTGGCTCAGAACAACAATGCTGCAGAGCAACAGTTCTGATTACTGCTTCGTATCTTTGACACAACTCATGCACTTTTCCATCTATTCCTGATAAATAGTAAAGGCTAGAGTAGGAACTTCTGAATTTGACTAATATAATGTGAGATGAGATTAGACTGAGCCTTTTCTCAGCCAATTATAAGTTACCTTGAACCTTTCTATGTTGGTTGAAGCTATGTGGGGAGTTGGTAGTGAGATGACGGAGAGCGGTTGCTAACTTTCCGTTCCTAACTCTAGACAAGGGTGAAATATAGATACATGCCCTTCCAGGTGTTTAAGACTCCCTAATGCAATGAATGGAAGAGACAGCTGCTTTGAAATGTTTTTTTCTGACCATAGAAGGATGTATGTCTTTAATGAACTCAAAGTTGTTTCTCTTGGTAAGATCCAATGTTTGTGTGAGAGAATTATCTTTATATGCAGGGGTGGGAAACTACCCCACCAGAGCCACACTAACAGGTCCACTGTTTGTGTCGTTCTCCTATGCAGAGTAAAATAAAACTTTTTCTTCCTTGCATATCAACTCTCAGTGCTCATTTTACTTCACAATAATGAAAAGCAATCTAATCTTTATTATTCTGTAATTTAGAGAGGAAGGACACTTCATTTATTTTTATTGATGGATTGATTGATTGACTTTATTGATCTCGCAGTGGAGAAATGTACTTCTTACATCGGCTCAAATAATCAAAAAAGAACAATGTGCCAAAGGAAGAAAAAGGTCGTGTGAAATATATAGTATATACAATGCGTCCACATATGAGTTGTTTTTATTTTTATAGTAGTATATACATACAGTGTTATTGCACAGGGTGTTTACATGGGTATTTATATAGATGGATATTTAAATCCATATATATAGCTAGTATATATAGATAGTGCACTGGGTGTTAAACAGGTAATTGCACAGGGTATTAATAAATATATGATATAAATATATTTTAAAGAATTTTTGGCAAACTGAACTGATCTAAAAGAGAAGCTGTTCTGTAAAAAAGTCAGAATAATAAAACATTTTTGCACACTTTGCACACAGCAGGTGCAGTAAGGATGTAGTTTAAACAGCTCATGACCTTGAAGTGCGTCATTCTTTCTAATAAAACATGTTCTGTCTAGTTTCTCTAAATGCCCTTTTGTTTGTTCATAGTTCATTCTACATGTTGTCAATACTGGGTGGCCACCCTGCGCGCAGACAAGCTGATAAATCCTTTCCTGACTCATATCTCCTATTTAAGATCAACCTTGTGATTAATTCTATTATCACTTTATGTCAAGGTTAGTGCAGTGATAGTGGGAGACAGTCCAGACTTTGCAGTTACACCACAGGACTGGCTGCATAACCAGGCCAAAGGTGATGGTGAAATTTTATTATAAAAGCAAATGGGGAGATATGAAGAAGAATGGGGTGAGATGTTCTGGTTTATCAATCTTTGATAAGTTGCAGGTACAGATAAATATGCTCAATATGCTATTTCATAGAGAGCAGATTTCAAAGCGTCGAATGATGGGTCTTAACTGCCGCCTCATGCTGGTCCATTTATTATTGTGTTCAGATCCGGTTTGAATGTGATTTTATCTGTATATTATCCTTTAATGAGATATAAAGAAGCTGATTTTGGCATTTATCTGCCAATGCTTGAGAGTTCACTCTTTTTTTTAATTATTGAATTGTCCCTGTTTAGTTTTTTTTTTATTGATCATTGCAATCATAGCTGGTAGATCTTTTTTTTTTATATATATATATATCTTTCTCCAGTCTCAAAAGAATAATCGAACATGAACTGACAGTGAAATCTATCTTTGATATTATGAGATGTTTAATTAATTAAAAAGATGTGAAAGTAATTAAGAACATTATTTTTTTCTATGCATCCATTATCTGACACGCTTGTCCCGAGTGGGGTCGCGAGGGGTGCCTATCTCCAGCAGTCAATGGGCGAGAGGCGGGGTACACCCTGGACAGGTCGCCAGTTCATCGCAGGGCAACACAGAGACAAACAGGACAAACAACCATTCACGCACACACTCACACCTAAGGAGAATGCAGAGAAGCCAATTAACCTAACAGCCATGTTTTTGGACCGTGGGAGGAAGCCTGAGTACCTGGAGAGAACCCACACATGCTCAGGGAGAACATGCAAACTCAATGCAGAAAGACCCCAGGCCGGGAATCGAAGCTAGAACCTTCTTGCTGCAATACAGCAGTGCTACCCACTGCACCACTGAGCAGCTCTATTTTTTTTTTTTTATATTTGGTTGCTAATCTGGCAGCAATAGATGGATCCATCCTAAAAGTAACCCATTTGTGTAATATTTCAATCAATGGAAACCAAAATAAATAATCCATGTGAAAACAATGACATTTAGTATTTACAAATTTAACATAGTTTGAGCCGACTTTTGCATTTAATTTTTACACATTTAAATATTTAAAAATAAGTATATGAGTGCTAGAAATGGGGAAACTCTGACACTTATTCCGCTATCTAAAGAAAATTTTATAAAACAATTATTTCCAGTAAAATGTGGTCTTATTACTTCAAATGAACAGGAAAAAAGCAGGAGCATGAATCTGATCAGTCTGCAAACAACCAGATAAACTAGCGATAGACAGAAGGCAGATTGTCAGCATGTTCTAATTCATCACTATCTGAGATTGTCATCTTTCTGCCCACATCTGGTCAAAAAGATGTTTTATATTAACTACTTTGCTCTTCCTGAAAGAAAACATGGCATCAACTGACTTTGTGCAGCAATGGTGTGTTTGCTAAATTAGCTAAATATCCATCCTTTATGTAAAACCTAACAGCACTATAACAAGCTACAGCTACATTAGAGAGAAAAATTATTTGCAAAAAAAAGAAGAAGAAAAAAACGCCTAACGCCAAATTCAGATTTCTACCAACTTCTTCACATATGGAGATGATTCATTCATATAAAATAAGACTTTCCTGCTCTTTTATATTTGTGCACCATAAAA